GAAGGTTACTGCAAAATCCCCACATCCTCCCAATCAGTTGGGACTCAGGAGGCAGAGAATAGATGGGGGTGGTGCCAGTCAGAGGTGGTATTTACAGGTTCTCCGAACTACTCAAAATTTCCACTACCGGTTCTCCAGAACTGGTCAAAACCTGCTGAATACCACCTCTACAGTGTTTGTGTAACTGCTAAGGCTACTTGAAACAATTATGAAAGAAAAGCTTAAAAATTTAGAAACAATAAACTAGCAATGTTGGTTTATATTGAGAACTTGGTCAATAAATTATTTTTCTCATGCCACAAATCTCAGAATTTTGTTTTTCTACGATTGTCAGACTTTAAATGATCATTTTGGTTGTTTTCTTCCTCTGCCTCATCATTTTTTAATTATGGAAGGCATGGCGGCCAAAGCAGAGAACATATAAAATGAGAAAGTGTGTAATTTTTTTTTAATTTAAAAAATAATGCATCTAAGTTTAGTTTTCCTGCAAACATAATACACACAGTGCCAAAAACATAATCAAATGCATATTTTGGCTGACACTTTTAATCATCAGTTAGCATTTTGTGAATTCTTACGAAGGGTGCTCATTATATTATAATATTATAATAAAGTAGAATCCACCAAGGCTGCAGACCAAAAGTGATAGACATTAGCTTCCTAGCATCACTTATACTAGTGTACTTATTTACACACTTTTGTATTTATTTATGCACATGTGTAAAGAGAACACCAAAGGTTCTGCAAATTGTCTGTGTTGGTAAAAAAAAGAAGTCAAGAGGGCTGCAATAATGTGAAATTCCGTTTCTTTGTATGTATGTGTTACACATGTGATGCACATAAAATGCACAGTGGATCAGGTGGTTGTAGCCATTGTCCTGATGTATCTGAACCACACAGTAGTTTTTTGCACATTGAGCCTGCCAGATATTTTAAAAAGTTTAAAGATAGATTCCACCTAGCAATAGGAAGTGGAAATTGTTAATGAAAATTATCTAGAAGTCTTTACTGACAAGGGAGAGAGAAAAGGGGAAGCAGATTAACCAGAACTGCCTAGCAACTAAGGGATTAGGTTCCCATTCAGTGGATTAATTGCTACACAGAGAAGCTGCTTAGCGAGTTAGCAAAAAGCAATGAAAGACAGTATACAAACACAGCAAGGAAAGATAGAGAAATAAAGTTAAGAGGCTGACATAGCAGAGCAACCTAAAAATATAACACAGTGAAAAAAAGGAGCTTTGTAACATTAACACGTTGTAAATACTACTTCACCTATTGGTCCAGTGGTTTAGTTCTAAAAATTGTTTTGTTAATAAAATCTCAAGGTGAACCGCTCCAAACTCGACTGCAGAAAACACAACTTCAGCGACAGAGTGGTCAATGCCTGGAATGCTCTACCCAAACTCTGTTGTTACAGCCTCAAACCCTCACAGCTTCAACCTTAAACTGTCTACCATGGACCTCACCCCATTCCTAAGAGGTCCATAAAGGGGGCGTACATAAGCGCACCAGCGTGCCTACTGTCCCTGTCCTACTGTCCTCATTTATTTGTATTCATTTCCCTCGTTCAGGTCCATGTTCATATTCATACCTGCTGTCTAGTTTGACAAACTAATAAAATAAAATAAATAAAAATGGTTTTCTACCAGATCGGTTGAACCATCCCAAGTCCAAGACCCCTTACCACATGCTCCAACGGGGTTCCCTAGTTCCTCATCCTATACTGGTTAGTGCTTTGTCAGCATGAGGATGGGGAGAAGGATGCTAAAAACAGGAAACAACCAATACTGTCTTTCTCCGCTCCATTCTTTGCTTTCCAGCATTAGCTTTTTCAAATAAAAAGAAACAATGCTTGCTACTGTCAGTGAGACAACAAGGCACTCCTCTATTCAGAAGAAAAAGGCTGAGAAAGAGTCGGTTGGCTTCTGCCAGGAATCTCAGGGACGAAGTTCCCCACCCTGCAATTTCAGAGAAAGTCTGCAAAACGGTGGTTGCAACATTTGCTTTGGAGAAGGAGCCAAGCCAGTTAAGTCTGAATCAAGAAGACCCACAGCATCCTGAGGCCAGTACGGGAAGTTTTCTTCTTCCTTTATGAGTACTCACTTTGGAGGATGCAGAGTGTATCTGCCTTACACATGGCATTTAATACTTTTATTGAGTAATTTCCATAATGAATGAATAACTCCATTGGAAACACAGACACAGACACACACACACAGATATAGTTTTTGGTGGATTGATGCCAGACTAATTTATCTCTGCTAGTTGACTTGTCAATGATATTATCAGGAAGACATTTGTTCAAGTCCCACATTGTCTCTGGTCTATTAGAAGCATACACTGTGTTAAGACCTGACTCCAAATGAATGTTCTTGGAAATATTTTGCGTGGAGCCAACGGCATGGGCACAACCATTTTTGCTGGAGCTATGTAGCTGACAAATGCTTTCCTGTCCTATGATGATAAAGACATTTTAATTGCTCTGGGCTTTCATTGTAGTTCAAACTTTCACAAAGCCTGGTTTGAATTCAAAGGCTCCTTTTTCTTCTCTTTTCTTTGGAGCAATGTGTCTTTCAGCACAATCATGGTTTGAATTAGCATTTATATGTATGCCGAATATATTGCGCGTTAACCCTTTCTTTTATATTCCATGCATTCTTTAGGCAAAGACCAAAGTGATCTTGTGTGACCCAGAACAGAACAGAATTCCTTTTGATAGTAACTCAGGGGAGCAGAGTCTTCTCAGCACAGACCATCTACTCAAACTTGCATTACTTCCTTCAAAGATAAGAGAGCAGTTTGGGAGGAACCCAAATGGATGTATTTTCTTTATATGCCCTGCCTGTGCAGGATTTCTTTTTGTTTTCATATCTAAAAGAGGTCGGGAGGAGATCATGAAGATTCGGTTGTGGTTCTTTGCCCATCTACATGGTTATTTTGAAATTAAATATGCATTTTCCTGAAGATAATGGGCTTTCTTCATTAATCGCAGAAAAAAAAAATGACATGAAAATGAGTTAGGAATTTTGAAGAAAATTAGTTTTTTTTTTTATTGCAAAAGTTTTACAATTACATTTTCACCCCATTTTTCTCCCCCCCAACCCACCCCAAACTCCCCAACCTAACCCAACTTAACCCTCCCTATCCTCCCCTAACCCTCCCCTCCCCCCGGACTTCCACAGAATATACTCCCATCAAAAACCCCTTTTATATAAAACTTGAACCCCTCCATCCCCCATATAATTTTCCATCTTCACAAAATTTAAATATTTCTATCTTAATATAATACTGTCAGTGAAAAGCTATTTGATACTTCCTAGTTTGATATTTGTTCTGCACATAATCTATCCACTTTTTCCATTCCCATTCATAATTAGTTTTATATCTCCCATCCAACAAATGCTAGTCAATCCAGTCATCTTGGCTAGAACCAACTCCTGGTACTCATGGGATCTACTAAGGTCTCAATCATCTGGCAGGATTTCCTGCTGACGTGTCTCCAAGCGTTTCCTTCACTTGTTCTATTTTTTCCAGCCCCAGCAGTAGTCATAGATCCTACTTCCCAAGAGAAGATATCAGGAGAGAAACTTTCTCCATGAAGGTTTTACAGATCAGAAAGTGGAGTAGTGGCAGAAAAATGTAGAGATGTTTTTTTTTAAAAAAACAACCAACAACAGCATTCTCTGAGCATTCAGCATTCTCGCTTTTTAGTTATATAGGTTAGGAGGAATAGGAAAGCAACTGCTTTATAACACTAGCTACGTATTTATGTATTTCTTGCGTAGGCTTATATACAGTTCAGTTATTTACTTCAAAGTTATTTACAAGCGAATCCTCCTGCCCATCCACCCACCAAACCCAAGTCAATCATGAAAATACATTCCCTTCCATAAAACCCATGGCAACATCTCTCTTCCTCTACCTATCAGAGTACCTATCAATGTAAATCAATCTCAGCATAAAAACATCCCTCAAGCCAAAATATTTCAGATATTCATTATTAATTTTGCAAATTGAAATTGTGTCAAGTTAATTTTTAAGCAGTTAGAAGAACTGTCTATACTTATTTTGAGCAATACAGATCTATGAATGCTGTTAAAAATGAATTTAACATGCTTCTAAGATCTATTTTTATTACATTTAATAATATTGAGAAAGGGAAATAAATCTCATAATTTTTATCTTCAAAGAAATTAAACAATGCATTTTGTATCTCGAATATACTTGGGAAAATATATATAAATTTTGATCTATTAATCAGCTAGATTTGATCGTATTCTAATAGCTTCCATTCATCAAGAAGACATATGTTGAGGAATAATTTTTGCCTCTTTGCAGAATTTGAGATTTATAAATGATCACAAGACCGGGTCAAAAACTTTTCCTTCAGAAAATTATTGTTACAATTTCATCTATAAAACCAGGAAAGACATCAGACCCTCACGGTTTTACAGCTGAAGTATATGGAATTTCCAGATGCTGTTTTATTGGAGGTACGTGATAAAGTTTTCCAAATCAAATTCAATGCTTTAATTTTAATGAGACATATATCATAGTTATTCCAAACCAGGCAGAAAAAAGTTTATATGCATTTTCAAATTCTAAACATCAATAAGCATGGATAAATTCAGATCTAAAATGTTAATAGCCACTTTGGCCTGATTGCTTACAGTTTGTTCTTACAATTATACATCCAGTTCAGGTTGGATTTATATGAAGCAGACAAAATTGTAATAATATTAGGATTTTAACTGAGGGGTGGGGTTTGCCTTGGCATAGAGAGAATCTAGTGGCTATAATTTATTTTGACACAAAGATTGAATGTGGTGGGCTTTAACTCACTTTGTATCTGAAGCATTGTACTCATATGATTTATTCTAATCCTAAACTGTGAGTTATGAGGATACTTCATAGTGGTCCCTGCCCTGTGGAACACCCTATCCTCTGAAATCTAACAGAACTCTTCTCTCTGAGCCTTCTAGAACACCTTGAGTAGTTGACCCTTCCCACAAGCATTGGGTCCGAGTAAGGTTGGATCCAAGTGAAGTTGAAATTGAATCTTGACATGTGGTGGAGTGTTGCCTTTGGGGTACTGGGAGTTTTTGCTATGGTTTCAGGGTTTGATGTTTTTATCAATTTTTGTAAGCCTCCCAGGTTTATGGTATGTAAAATGTATGTAAGAGCTGCTAGCTGTGAGTTCAAGGGGACTGAGACAATGAAGTCCAATGAAGCCAGGTAAGCACCTGGAAGCTGAGCTGCATCTAAAGAGCATTTGAATTTCCCAGTGGCTGGTGGAAAGAGGGGACTGGAGGCTAAAACATATAATGAATGGTTGCTGGATTTGGGTATGTCTAGTTTAATGAAAAGAAGGACTAGGGATGACATGATATCAGTGTTCCAATATCTAAGAAGCTGCCACAAAGAAGAGGGAGTCAAGCTATTCTCCAAAGCACCTGAGGGCAGGACAAGAAGCAATGGATGGAAACTAAACAAGGAGAGAAGCAACCTAGAACTAAGGAGAAATTTCCTGACAGAACAATTAAACAATTAAGTGGAACAATTTGCATCCAGAAGTTGTGAATGCTCCAACACTGGAAGTTTTTAAGAAAAGATTGGATAACCATTTGCCTGAAATGATACATGGTTTCCTGCCTAAGCAGGGGGTTGGACTAGAAGACCTCCAAGGGCCCTTCCAACTCTGTTGTTCTATTCTATTGTAAGATGGTAGCTATCTAAGTCTTTTAAACAAACACACACACTAACAAACAATTGGGATTGGGAGTTTTATAGGCTTGCTGTTTATGATATAATTTTCCAAAACTTCCTTCTTCTTGTTTCTGCTTTAATTTATTGTTATTAATGTTGCTCTTATTTTATATTATTAATACTATTACATACATTTTCCCTGTTAATTTCCTTGAAAAAATACAAATACACACAGGATTCTTTGAATGGTATTATGGAGATTTCAATGCAAACAAGCTATCCATTAGAGAAACTATTATATTTGCCATCATCAATGTCATTATTATTCACAATACCTGTGAAAATTTAAAAGTAAGATTGTTTAGGACTGGAATTAAACTTCCTTAAAAAGTTGATTCTTCTTCCTGATTGAAAAACAACAAAGAAATCAAGGAAGTTTTCCTTTTTTTTTTTTAAACTTAGTAACAGGCAGCAGTTTTGCAAGAAAGAGAAAACCACAAAAAACAGGTATAGCCTAATGATGCAAGTTAATAAAGAATGAAAAATAAAGAACACCTTTAACTGGATCAGGTATTGTCTAGTATGCATCCTTTGGTAAGGACCATATAAAACTAAAAAGTCAGTTCTAACAGGGATGTGGTGATTGGAAAGACTTAATTGCCAAAGCATAAATGAACAGGTGAACTTTCATCCCAGAAACGTGTGAACATTTAACCAAGAGACTGGGTGCCTTAAATGCAAGACCAGTAGCTGACAACAAGGCACCAAAAGAAACAAAACATTTACAGATCTCTTACGCATTTCAAGAGGAACAAGAAAAAATTGGATGAGTAAAGCCATCAAGAATAAAATACCATAGTCTTGAGAGGAGAGTGACAACCAGAGATGAAGAAACTGATAGCAGTAAAGCAAAATAGGAATGGAGGCATCTAACAAAAATGGCAGTTGCCAATAGGAACCCAATATAAAGCAAAATTACAAATTGGTATCAATTTAAAGGGTCATCAGGAAAGTAAGAAGAGCTACATTCCAAAGAAATGCCAAAATCAAGGCAGAAAGAGTTATGCTCATGAAAAAAATGCATCATATTTTATCAGATTTTCCTGGCATAACAGTATATCTAAAATAATATCTCTGTGTGAAATATATCTGAACTAGAATGATAAATTCAGTATCAATAATTGTTGCTTAATACTAAAGGCTGAGTCTACATGTATCTGCAATATTAGAATATTGTAGATTGGGAAGCGTTTGGGAAAAGAAAATAACATTGATTGGTTTGTCCTTTTTCTTTGCAGTTACTAGTTATAGAAATACAAGATTTCTTCTGTCTCAGTTACAGAAACCTAGCATTCAACATTCATCCTTCTTCTAAATTGGAGCAGCTTTGGCTGAAGAGTCTTCAAAGATCCCTCTTTATGCTTTGCACTATATAGCATCTCTTTTAGTGTATTAAAGCTCTTCCTTTCCCCCTTTTCCTTTTTAATAAACCATGTGGTTTAAACATCCGTGCGCCTATACACTCTGTGTATTTATTATTTACCTTTACCTTCAGGCACTTCTAAACAGCTGGACTTAATGAATAAAAATCATCAGTGAAATCATGCCATGTGTTTGCCAGAAAAGAATAATTTATAGCTAGAAGTATTACGGAGGATGGGAAGAGAAGGAGGGAGAGCTGCCCAGATCAACAAAGCATTCAAAATCCCTGATGTTTTTGTGCAAAGCAGGCACCTGTAGTGCTCAAGGCAATGAAATTGATTAGCAAGTATTCATTCTCTTCCTACCGTGAGTGACCATGGGAATTGTGAATCAGAAAAGGAATTATTAGAGAACTTGCAAGATTCCTCAAAAAAAAATAAAAATAAATTAAAAAGTCTCATTAGCCCTCCACAATCCTAACTATCTGGAACATTATGTCATTCACAGTGGGTAAATAGAAAGGAAGCTGGTTTTCTGTCTCCTTTTGAACTTCTCAGAATAATTTTTACATGCAGCTAATAGTCTAGAAGGTAGCATGACAACAGTATTAGACAATGTGTAACGTAATGATGCAGGGACTATATATTGTATTCCATTTCAGCAGGTCTGAATTGTTTTATTTGCGCCCTGTTTCACAGCATATGAATGACTTCTACTGCTAACAATTATCACCTAAAAATGAAACTATGATGGAAAGAGAATTTATGGTTCCTTTAAAAATTTCGTAAACAGGAATTTTTTTTTTTACAGTTCTGGTTAATATTGGGAACATATTATTTACGCCATAATAATTTGAGAAGTTGCACTTTGTAGCCATTTATATTGGTTCTTCTGTTTTAAATTCAGCCTGGATATTGAGCTAATTATTAATCAAGTATGTTTCCAATAAAAAAAGTCAAGATGGCAGAAAAATGCATCTCAAATGTGTACATTCTTCCATGTCCAGCACAATTTGAGGGCTTGGTTGTCACATTGTCACTTTTAGGAGCTGATTTGTCAGACTCTGAGCATTGCTTCCTATATTTTATTTTTATTTATTTATTTAAAACATTTATATAGCTTCTGGATTTTAGCAGACTCTTCCAACATCATAAATTCTGTTGTCTTATTTTTTTTGTTGATAATTTATGTTAAAGAAAGAAGGAAGGAAGTAGCTCAAGGAACTAGAACAATCTATTACAAATTGTTTCTCACCCATCTATGTATGTATGTACATGTGCATTTATTTAGTTCAGTACATTACTATTAACCCTATGGATGTGTATGTATCAAGCTGATGTACAGTTAAAAACATCAGAATATGAATTAAAAGGAATAGCCAAATTTGTTGCAAGAAAGAACAAAATAATCCTCTGACATCTAGAAGAGAAAAAGGCTTCCTAATTGTAATCTTTCCAATCTAAAGTTTTTGGGATTAGAAATCCCAGAATTCCTAACAACCTTGATCAATGGTGAAGATGATATTAGTCCTGAACCCTTTGGCCTTGGTGGTAAAATAGGCTGGATTCTAGCTTTTTTCCCCTTTACAAGGGAATACTGAACTCCTAGAAGAATATATAGATTTGTGTGACTGAATCTCTAGTTGAAGTGGGAACTGGCTAGCATGGAATCTCAGCAGGGTAGAAAGCATTGGAGATCTGATCCTCCCACTTCCCAAATCACTAGTATGTTTATTTGGTTATTCTCAAGAGAATGCAATCAATATGGCGAGATTCTTATACTGTAAATAGGCAAGTAGCAATAAAGAATCTCCTTGAATCAGTTCATAGTGTTGTTCTGGTTCCTTGTGTATGACAATTTGTCAGCCATGGTTCGTACTATTAACTGACTTGGTCTATATCAGTGGTGAAATCCAAATTTTTTTACTACCGGTTCTGTGGGTGTGGCTTGGTGGGCATGGTGTGGCTTGGTGGGCATGGCAGGGGAAGGATACTGCAAACTCTCCATTCCCACCCCACTCCAGGGAAGGATATTGCAAACTCTCCATTCCCACCCCACTCTGGGGCCAGCCAGAGGTGGTATTTGCCGATTCTCCGAACTACTCAAAAATTTCCACTACCGGTTCTCCAGAACCTGTTAGAACCTGCTGGATTTCACCCCAGGTTTACATTATATGTGTGTGAGCATTGTAAGATTTTAAAGTAGCAAAAGCACATCACATACAAGGTCATGAGCACAAATGCAAATTAGGAAATGGAATTTTCAAACAGATGTAATCAGTGACCACTAGATAAGTCTATACTCCTGTTAGAAGTGCTGATACAGTTCTACAGAGGAATTATTGAGTCTGTCATCTGCACCTCTATAACTGTCTGGTTTGGTTCTGCAACCCAACAAGACAGGCACAGACTTCAGAGGATAATTAGAACTGCAGAACAAACAATTACTACCAACCTGCCTTCCATTGAGGACTTGTATACTGCACGAGTCAAAAAGAGGGCTGTGAAAATATCTACAGACCCCTCGCATCCTGGACATAAACTGTTTCAACTCCTACCCTCAAAACGACACTATAGGGCACTGCACACCAGAACAATTAGACACAAGAACAGTTTTTTCCCGAACACCATCATTCTGCTAAACAAATAATTCCCTCAACACTATCAAACTACTTACTAAGTCTGCATTACTATTAATTTTCTCATTGTTCCTATTACCCATCTCCTTCCACTTATGACTGTATGACTGTAACCTCGTTGCTGGTATCCTTAAGATTTATATTGACTGTTTCCCTATGACTATCATTAAGTGTTGTATCTTATGATTCTTGATGAATGTATCTTTTCTTTTAGGGACTCTGAGAACGTATGCACCAAGACAAATTCCTTGTGTGTCCAATCACACTTGGCCAATAAAGAATTCTATTCTATTCTAGAAGAGGAGTAGTAAATAATGAAAATTGAGGCTTGAATCCTCAATCGTGCCTTGATATTCATTCAGGATAATGGCTTATCAGTAGCTGAAAATTGGTGGAAGAAAGAATGTCAGGGAGCCCACAAGTAGCTGCCTTGAAAGTACTCTTTGCTAAGTGATTGAAAGGCAACAACAGTGGTGGCCTTGCTCCTGAAAGATAAAGCTAATGAAGACAGCACCATTCATGTAAGGATTCTTTCCTTGTGGCTAAAAGATGAGTGGAAGATTCATTAACAAAGCTATGGGAAGAGCCCCTCAACATATATTTAGCTGCTCTTTGAACCATCAATAAATGTAGCCTTTCCTTGGAGCCCCCTTGATAATATTCCAGCATCAAAACTTTTGGGTCTGACAGGCATAGGTGTGGGGGAATCCTACCTAGGGTTTTTTGGTCTTTTATTATTATTTTTTTATGGTGAAACTGATTAGAATGTGATTAGGTCTTTCAAACAGACATTAGAAAGTTTAAATTTAAAAGAAATTTTAAAAGTTTACTCCATGTGAACTGAGGAGATATGTCTTAAAGCCATGTGAGCAGCAGATGTGTTGTGTTACAACACATCAGATTATTTCATAATGTGGGATTTGAAACATGGTGTATTAGTTGATGCATCAGTAATCTGAGCAGTCCTACCCCAAAGCTATAACTGCATACAATTAAAAAGCTATTTTAATGTAAACATGCTAACAGATACTCTTAACTCATGTAATGAGCAGTGATGACTTTGCTTGATTATATGAAAAGGCTCTTAAACTTCCTCTTTATGTATTTTTTCCTGTCTGTTCCCCATGAATCCTTCATGCATTCTCAGTATTTTGTTAGATAATGAGTCTCTAAGAGTCATCATTAATGACATTCTGAGGAAACAAGCTAAATGGATTGATTTCAATCCAACTTTTATTAGTATAACAAAGAAATGAAAGTATCGCTTTGATTTAGTATTTTTGTTAAAACATTCATTTTCTTGTAAAATTCAAAGGAATATTGGAATCAGCCCACATTTATGTTCTTACATTTCTTGTTTCTTTTTAGTCACAACTTTGTTAGAACTAATTCAGACAAGGTATTTGGCCTTGTCGTAAAAATAATGCATTTGTCATAATAATGCTCTAAATGCCCAATGAATGAAACAGACTCTATTCCACATTACTTTAGTACTTTTATGCCAATTTAACTGTTGTGTTTTGGCATCAACCTGACTTTGAAAGAATATTTGGAATTTCCATTGTCATAGTATTGAATTTTTCTTGTTTATATGTCTACAAACAGTCTGCAATCTTTCCCAGTCTTAGTTACTGTATTTTTTGGAGTATAAGACGCACCGGAGTATAAGACGTACCTGAGTTTTTGGAGAGGAAAATAAGAAAAAAGCTGATTGGCATGTGGATCGGCCTCTTGGAATACCCCCAATCAGCTGTTCCCAGAGGTGAATTTTAGCAACAGGTTCCTTGGTTGTGAGCTCTGTGCCTTGCTTTTTTTTTTTTTTTGCTTTTTTTCCTGCCTCTGAAAGCCTCTGAAACAGCTTCAGAAAAAAAGCCTTTGAAGCTCTGTTTGGGGACTTCTTTTCTGAAGCTCTGTTTCTAATGCTTTTTTCAGCCTCTGAAACCTCCGTTTGAGAAGCTGGGCGGGGCTACATTCGGAGTATAAGACGCACCCAGATTTTCACTCTCTTTTTTTTGGGGAAAAAGTGCGTCTTATACTCTGAAAAATAAGGTATTTGTCCCACTAGGTATTCCTGAAATGAAAGTTTTGTAAATTCAAATCAGCATGATCAATAGTGAGGAATGCTATGTATTATAGTTTTATGAACAGTTACAGATACTTCATTCCTGGCTAAGAAATATTTAATGGTTAAATTAAGCAGGAAAAAAAAAACCAGGACAGAAAATGTCATACCTCAAATGCAGAACAGTATTGTATAAAAAGTTCATACTAAATTATAATGAATTCCAAGAAAACGTGATACATCAATAGATGCAGAGCAGATGTGCAGATCACAGCTCACACTTGAAGGCTAACAGTCTAAAGAGAGAGAACAGAAAAAAAAAGGTCTGGGAAAAATGGATAATGAACATTTATATATTAGTTCTTAGTGTTAGAGAGGATCTTACG